CGGCCGAAAGAGAGTGCGGAACGAGGCATAAACGGGACGGGGAGGAAGAGAAAGGAAGACAGAGAGCAGCCTGGCTAAGAGGTGGGGCGACGCAGAGGGTTCTACCGGTTTCGTGGCTACGTAGCCCCGGTAACAGTAGAACGGACGCCCCACCCCTGTGCAGCATTTTAATAATCCCAGGACTCCCTTCGGAGCAGCCCGGACAAGGATGCAACGCAGCTGGACCCCTTTTTGCCTCGTGCCCGGTGTTAAGGGGTACCGCCCTCCCACTGCGTTCATCTCCCGTTCCCTAACCTCTCCTCGGCCCCCGCGCAACCCTGTTGGTCGCGGCCGAGGAAGATCGGGCCGCTTTCATAGCGCGACAATCACACCGTAACCCGAAACGAATGCGGTCCGCCCGTTCGCTGGGTCCCGAGTGCCGACGCGCCGCGGCGCGGCTAACGTGGAACTAGAGGGGTTCGTGGTGGCGCGACAGTCGCGTAGATGCGGGTCCACGCGGCCTCTATGAGTCTCGGCCTGTCGGACTGCCTGTATTTCGCCGCGTCGAGCGCGCCTTTGTGCTCAGGTATTCCCTCGTTTCTGCCGCGTCTGTCTTTCCTCTTTCATCGCTTCTGCGATGTCGCCATCGTCTACCTTCGCCCGTTTTCTTTCTTCGGCCGGATTACGACGGTCCTCGTCCCTTCCACGCTTCGTTTTCTCGTTTCTCGAACTCTCTATCTCGTTCAAAGTCACCCTCAAAGTCTGTCGTTCCCAGTGACGGGAACGGCGACGGCGGAGGGAGGGGGACGGATAGACAGGTGGAGAGAGAGGGAAAGGGAGACAGGCGGATCGAGATTAAGGCAACTTCGCAGACTCGGCGACTGCGCCCGCGGGGCTCTGTGTGCGGAATACTTTGTTGGAATAGCTGAGGCCGCCTTGCCCCCGATCGGAAGCGCCGCGACGAAAGCGGACAGGCTTCCGCGCGCCTCGCGCTGACCGATCTCCGGGCTTCCTGTCAGCGACGGCTGCCCCCTCGAACGGCCAACAGCCTCTTGCTTCTTCCACCTATCTCCACCGACCATCTTTGCGGGCAAAGACCACCGGTGCTCCTCTGATTCCACGGAATTACGCCGGTATGGTAAATAGTAACGATGATGAGCTCGGCTCTCTCGGATCCGCGTAGTTGACTTTAAAACGGGAAAGAAAGTTCCGAGAGCGGAGCCAGTCTCATCCCTTTTCGCATAGATATACACGTACGTAGGTTCGTGGACGATGGTGGACTCGTTAGGTTGCCTGGCTCGTTTATTGATTTCGGATATCTCCTGGCGAACGTTGATCACTATTGGTCCGGACGTTTTTACCTTTAATTTTGGTTTCGTTGGTAGTTCCACCGTCGTGGCGATATTCCAAATTCGAGCGATCGACGATCTTCCATGACGCGGGGGTCATGCGGTGACTTTAACGTCAAGGAGACTGTACTTTGATCATTTTTGACACATCGATCGTGATACTTGTCGTTTGTTCGCGTAGTACGATGCAATAGACGGTAGAAAATTCTCGCCTATCCAAGCGTACGTTCAATTTCCTGCGCTGTTCGAGGGAAAAACCGCAATTAATTAATTGCCAGCATCGAGCCATCGGCGCCAAAGAAACAGCCCCAACGCAGAAGTAAGAATGGCAGAAGCTGAAACTCCACCGTGAGCACCGTTAGTTCTATACCCGACCGAAGGTTAAAGGAAAGATCCGCAACCGCAAATCGCACTAATTCTGTTTGCGATAGTAACTAGCAGTGACTGCGCTTTGAAGGGCCAGCCAATTAGTAGCGACGAAGATATTACGTAAATGTACTTAAACGGGGAAACGTCGAAGCGTAAGGACGTTGTATCTACTGGGAGCGGGACTGTCGTGAAAACGCGTGTCAGTGGTGCACGAGGGGGAAGAGGGATGGTCGCGGGGCGACTCGGAAGATGAAAAATAAATTTGAGGAAAATAGAGGGAAAAATAAGCGCGCGATAGACGAGAGGGTGTGTGGGTCGTGGGATGCGATCGGGAAAATTTCGAGAAGAATTTAATCGGCGCGCGGTAGCCGCGACAGTTGCCAGGGATGCCCAGGAAGCCGAAACGGGAACAGCCGAGTTCACGTGTATGCATGTACGGGTTCCGTCGCGTGTATCGAGAAATTTACAGTCGGCCGGCAATACGGGACGAATCGAAGCGGGACCGCCGGTTCCCGCTCCTTTCCCGGCGTTTTGGTTTCCTGGAAATCTGTGGAACCGATTCGCGCCATTATCGTGAAATCCAATTTCTCTGGAAGCAATTTCCACCTCGGCTGCCGGCTTCCCGAAACTCATCCCGGCCGGCTGAGCGGCGAAAAATTCGTGAACAAGGCGGCCGGTCGTCGTCGTGCCGGCGTTCCATACACACCCGTTACATCCCCGCGGTCACGTCTCGCTTTATCTCTCTCCCTCTCCCTCTTGCCGCTCGGTTCGCCTCTTCTTCTCGTTCGCAGCCTCTTTTTTTCCCTCCTTTTTTCACTCCCCTTCCCGGTCTCTCTCTCGCTCGCTCTCGCTCTGTCATACTTTCGGGCCTCCAGCACGTTCATCGGTGTCTGAAAAGCTCCGGTAGGCAGGCGGACCTACGATATGCTACCGCTCGAGTGTGGGCGCGCGCGCGCGCGAGCGCGCTCCGAGAGCGAGAGGGAAGAGAGAACGGCGGCCGGGTCGGAGAAGGAGAGCGGGAAAACGAAGAGGACGACGCGAGAACGGCGCGACGAGGAACGACCGGCGGG